AAACAGAAGAACGACCGTCGATTGATGACCAAAACAGAAAAACGACCGTCAATTCCTACCGTCTTCCCCCGACCACAACGCACCTTCATTTTGACTGTATCTGGCCGTAAATATAGCTTGTATACATTCATTTTTAGGGTGCGTTATGTTCGGGGGAAGTCGGTAGCCGAACAGAAGAACGACCGTTAATCGCTGACCACACAGAAGAAGAACGACCGTGAATTGCTGACGATACAGAAAAACCGGAACGTGCAACGTGCCACGAAAAGAGAACGACCTGTACGAGCAACGGGTCATGTACGGATTACGAAATGAAATCACTATTATTGATTTAGAAAGAACACTTCTTTATTTACGAAGCGCAGCTGAGATTGTAATTTCATCGAATACATAAATACGAATCCACAAAACAATCAAATAATCCAGAAAATGACAAAAGAAACATGCCAAAGTTATATAAGTCAGCATCCCCGTATGAAACGTCGACAGTCAATGGCTGACCAAACAAAAGAACGACCGTCTGTTGCTGACCAAACAGAACAACGACCATCAATTGCTCACGAAAAAAAAAAGAAGAACGACCGTTAATTTCAGAAATCAGAACGACCGGTACTTGCAACAGGTCAAGGCAACGTAACGGTGCATGCATCAAACAACGACCGGCTGTTCCTAACCAAACAGAACAACGACTGTCAATTGCTCACAAAAAAAAAAAAAAAAAAAAAAGACCGTTAATTTCTGACCAATCAGAACGACCGGTACGTGCAACGGGTCAAGGGGCAACCTGCATGCATCAAACAACGGCCGTCTGTTGCTGACCAAACAAAACAACGACCGTCAAATTGAATTGCTTATCAAACAGAAGAACGACCGTCAATTGCCGACCAATCAGAACGACCGGTCGTGCAACAGCTCAAGGGAAGTTCAACGTGCATGCATGAAAGATTGACCGTCCGTTACAGAGATGAGTCCTTCGGGACATGCGTTAGAATTGGAACGATACAGAGAAGAGTAAACGAGCAAATGGCCCCTGAGCAAGGGACACAGACAATAAATAAGGACACCCGGAAAGACCGAGATGATCAGACAGAAACACTGAAACCGAGATAATAATAATAAGAAAGAAGCCCTTCGTGGCATCCGTTTACAATAACAACAAAAAAAAAAAAAAAAAAAAAAAAAAACAGGCGCAGAAAGACACAGATGCAAGGAAGATGAGCATTAGCGAACTTCAGCAATCAAACAGCAGCATACATATGAGCCCAGATAGTCTTGACCTCGAACCACAGCAGACTGGCATCACGAGATACACCAAATAAGAACACACCAAGAGTTCAAAATTGACAATGCTGAAGTACTCCCATCATCATCAACTACGAACCAGAGTTGATATCCTATTGGCGCTCGGCGCCCAGACTACAGGTGGCAGATCCTATCTAACCTATACTACGAA